GGGGGGTGGATTATTTACGAGAGGAAGAGGAAAAGAGAGCGCATGCCATCCCGCGTCAGGTAGGGCCGTGGCAAGCGGAAAGTCGGTACAGTGCCACCCCGGCTCCTATGCGATGTACATATGTATATATATACACAGCGGAGGAGGCGAGGTGGTGGCGAAAAGACGAAATGTGGGTTGAGGATCCGCGAGAGTTTGCGCGCCAGCTACCTTTTGACGGATGAAATTGAAAATTGCCCGGGAGCAGACGGCTCGGGATAGCTCTCGTATACATGTACCACTGCCCGGTGAAAGTAGAAAGAAAGAAAGAAAAAAAAAAAATAAAAAAAAAAAAATAAAGAAAATAATTAATGAGTTGAGGTACATTTTGTATTTTCAATGATATACAGCAGCAGCAGTTGTGTTGCTTCTAGTAGTAGGTGTATGGACAGTAAAGATGACCGCGCCGAAAAGGAACTGTAAATAATACGGCATTAAAACGCAAAATAAGCTCGAAAATAAGTACCCACAACGCGGGAAGGACAAAAAAAAAGAAGACGAGGAATTCCTTGGAAAGTTAAAGCGGATGAATGGCATACCGTTCCCGCGTAGCACGAGTTATACATTGCGCGACGGGCTCTCCCTCATTCCATAAGCGAGTATGACTCGCAAAGGTCGGACTTGAAGGAAAAAGTAGGCTCGTTCGCTTCGGAGGAAAATGAGAAGAAGAAAAAAACATCTCCTTGCAAAAGAAAACCTCTCTGCTGTAGGTGGTACCTTCGATTTAGGTATCGTGAATCCCCGATCGTTGATAATATATCCGTCGTAGTAATTCGATACGCGTGGGACAAGCAAAGTAGGAAGTTGACGACGATGAAAGAATTAGTTATCTATTCGTACTTTGTACCTAATTATTTAGGTGTTTCGAGGCCATGCAAATACACACCCGTGTTATATATACATTTATTACAGCTTTACTCGCTGTAACCCGACTGTAACCGAATGTATAGGTACGGATGCCATACTGATGAAAAACACGTATAATACGTGTGTAACATAATAGCAGAAGAAGAGGGCGATGAAAAAGAGAAGAGGAAGGCGAGGCCGAATCTCTTTCGTGAAAATATGGGTTGACACCATAAAAGGCAGAGAGAGAGAGAGAGACGTTTTGCTTCGTGACTATAATTATGTACATAATATACCTATACAATCATGACTCTCGGTGTATTTTTTATTTTTCGCGTAAGTAAACTCAAGAAGGCGCGAGTGACGCTCTCGCGCCGGCATTATTACCCTTTACCTGCATAACATGCGCTCCAGCTAGTATACTTGTGTTCGTGTGTGTGTGCGTGCATGCGCGCGTGTGTGCGTGTGTGTGCAGGATACGTTATACATATATGGACGCATATGCGAAAGCGCACAGAGAGAGAGAGAGAGAGAGAGAGAGCAGTTGGCACATCCGTAAAAGCAGGTTAAGGACGAGGACGATCCTTTTAAGGACGCGTGCTCTATATATATCTTTTTTCATACATCAAACTTGTTTTGGGTGTATGTATATTGTATATATATATACTAATACTTGCGGTCCTTAGCTTACGCACGATCTTTGGTACTTTTTTATTTTTATTCTGACATCTTGTAGTTTTTTGTATATTTTATTTCAATATAATCTTGTGTTTTTTGAGGACAAAGGACGAGTCGGCATACCAAGAGAATATATTTATATTCGCAGTTTACGTGGAGACAAAAAATCCTTTCTTTCTGACTTATGATTAGAACGTAATTAATATTAATACAGAAAGAAAGTGGTTAGCAAGAAAACAAGTTACATATGCAATATTCAAGAAAATGTGGGTTAGTACAGTTTTAAAATGCTCGTGTTAGACAACGAATTCACAATTTTTTTTTTTTTTTTTTTTTTTATTCATTGAGTAAGTAGTGATTAAACAAAAAACAAAAAAAGATGTGTATTAATGAGATATGAAAATGTGATGATNAAAAAAAAAAAAAAAAAAAAAAAAATCCATCATATTTTGATTATTTCGTGCAGTTCATCGTAAGTATTTCTTTTTTTTCCATACATCTATATTAATTTGTTGAAAACATTATACATGATTTTCATTAGTTCCGCGGGACGAGCGACATATAGCCTTTTGACAATTCATTGTTCTCCGCCATCCAATTAGCCTCAATAGACGAAAAAAAAGAAACGCTCTATTATGTGGACTCATCGAAAGCGAGCGTGTATCGATTTTCCTGCATAGGTACATCGAGCCTCTCTCTCTCCTAACTCGAAAGATCGTTTATCTCTCATCGTTTGCCGGTCGCGATTTTTTCACTCGGGGTCGCTCCAATTAACAGCGACCCAAGGGGAAAGGAGAACCTCTTCCCCCACCCTCGCCGTCGTGAGTCAAGTATGTAGGGGACCTTAAGGCCGCGAGGACAATTTTGGCCGTGATTCGAAGGAGGTCCCCTTCTTCTTTATATATATACACACCTATTCCCGAGTTGGGCATGTGTCCGCGCTTTCCTCTCTACGAAAGAGCCGAGCAGATGAGAGTATAGTTATATAGTTACGTGCGAGTCCCAAGAGCCGCGGCGCCTTTGCTCCACTTTAATAGGCCACGACGATGAGGCATGCGTGATGCTGTATGGTTAATAATATATATACGTGTGCATTCGTAGCGAATTTTCGCATCGCATTTTGTAAGTAAATCCCCAGCGTGTGTCGCGTGGGGCGAGCAGACGTTTTCCACACCAATGATGCCGAATGATGCCGTTGCTGCCTTATTTGACATATACCTATATACATAAACGGTTGCCCTGTTTTGCTGTATACCATGTAGGTACACGTCACCTACCATACACGCTTTTATCCGCTTTTATTCGCTCCGAGCCGATGCAGAGGTTGCGCCCCCTCTAGCCAAAATCAGGCAAAATATCTTGCATGTAAACAAACGGTTTAGAACATATATACATACGTACAGCTTCTTGTGATTGGCACTAATGGCACTTGGCAAGCTAGAGAGAGAACGACGATCCTCTCCTGCTGTCTTATTCAGCCAATCACAAGCAGGTATACGTATGTATATATGTTCTAAACCGTTTGTTTACATGCAAGAAATGTTGCCTGATTTTGGCTAGAGGGGGCGCAACCTCTGTATCGGCTCGGAGCGAATACAATAGAGAAAAACATCCGCTAAAATTTTCTCACAGTGGCATAATACATGATGTCTGGAGATTTTTTCTTATTTTCAATTCTTGATAAATTTGCATGTGTGAAGTAAAAAACAGAATTCAGAAACTTTGCCAGAATCCCTTCCAAACATTGTGTGACAATTTATAGAGACTCACTCAACAGCGACTTCGAAAAGTTATAACTTTTTAAACAAAAAAAAGAAAATACAACTTGTAACCTACTGCTGACAAAGAAGGAGACGCATCATGCAAGTGAACCCTATATACCTCCCTATACTGATGACTTTACTGTTGACTCCACTCTCCAGTTAGTATAATAATGTACCTATAGTCAAAATTTAGTATGACGATTTTTTTTTCTGTCCGTCAAGAAAACAGTGACAACTCGTTCAACTCTTTTTGGCAAAGTTTTTATACTACCTAATTAGTTAGGCCCTCGAAGAAAAAAATAGTGCAATTGTACACGTTAAATCGAAGAATTTCGTCATCATGCCTATCATTGGTATCAGCAGCAATTTCAACAAGCTGCTTGGTTAGTCGACAGCTCGTCTTTTCTCTGTCCTGGGGCCTCTCTCATTTCCCAGCAGCTCATGTTACAGGTACCTAGAGTAGTAATTCGATTGATAATTTTGGTCTTGCTTTTCAGAAAAAGCTACGAGCAATCTGAATCTTGAACCCGAGTGGCCGACTATCCTGAGCATTTGCGATCTTATACGTCAGGGTGACGTGAGGTGAGACTATACGCGCACACAATAAATAAATGTACTTACCTATACTTGTAAATTGGCACTAAAATATTTATATATTATGCATAGGCTGCAGTGCAGTCTTTTTGTTCTTTTCCATGCGGTGAGTCAAGCTGATTGTAATGATCATTTATTTTTGCTAACAAACAGTAGTTGCGCACTTGATGAGTCAGAATTTCAAGAGTATACCTATAGTTTGTATACATCTGAAATGTTTATCAAGTCAACATTTCATCATCACCAATCAGGTTGACTCGTATCGGTCGGGATGATTCGATAGTGCCACAATAAATGAAATATTTTTATGGGTTCATTGATTACATCCACTTGATGACAAATATTTGCTAATTAAACGACAATAATTCATGTTGTAGTCCAAAAAATGCTCTTGTAGCCATCAACAAAAAAATAACTCATGAAAATCCACACACTGCTGGATTTGGTTTACTGGTAAGTAACTTTATTTATACGCTAGGCATAGTAAATAAAGACAAATGCTGATGAGATGTACACTCAAGGTTTTGGAATCTTGCGTGAAAAATTGTGGTTCTCCAATCCACGATGAAGTTTGCACCAAGCAGTACATGGAACAGCTCAAGGAGATAGCCAAGACAACGCAGCAGGAATCTGTGAGGAAAAAAATTCTCGAACTTATACAAGCTTGGGCTTATGCTTTCCGAGATTCTCCAAAATATAGAGCAGTACAGGTATTCAAATTACTGTTGCGCTTGTACATTACAATGTGTTATTGAATATTAATTTTATGTTTGGTTTTTATACCCAGGACACTATGAGAATCATGAAAGCTGAAAACTTTGAGTTTCCAGCTCTGCAAGAGAGCGATGCTATGTTCTCCGCTGACATTGCTCCAGAATGGGTCGATGGTGACAAGTGTCATCGTTGTAGAGTAGCTTTTAATACTTTTAATCGCAAGCATCATTGCCGAGCTTGCGGACAAGTGTTTTGTAGTCAGTGCTCGGGAAAATTTTCAACCATACCCAAGTATGGCATTGAAAAAGAAGTTCGTGTGTGCAACACTTGCTATGATCAAGTCAACAAGTGAGTACTAGTTTCGATTGTAATAGAATAAACTGTTTTAAATTTGGTATTAGCCGTATTTGTTGTAAAATAATTATGTTGATTGCAACACCATTCACTAGGCCTGTTGTCGTAACGTCAAAACCAGAAACAGACTTGCCCATAGAGTATCTCACAAGTTCTTTGGCGCAACAGCAACAGGCAAGTACCTTGCAAAGCATCCGTTTGTAACGACCAATTGAATTGACGATATTTTTTTTTAGGTGCCACCAAAAAAAACCGAGGAAGAGTTACGCGAAGAAGAAGAACTGCAGATTGCTTTAGCTCTAAGCCAAAGTGAAGCTGAACACAAAGAGAAAGAAAAAAAGCGTGCCACAAGTGCCATAATATCAAATTCAACTGCTTTTACGAAAATACATTATTCCCCGCCTCCCTCTCCAGTGAGTATTTTAAAATCATTACGAGCTTCCATAAATCTTTGTTTGAAAAATATATGCATCAACTTAATGCCTAAGGAACCAAGTCCTAAAATCATTCAGGAAGAGGAGGAAGTAGATCCTGAACTTGCAAAATATCTGAACCGTCAATATTGGGAACAGCGCCAGTCCGCTTTGGAAGAACAAACCGCAAGATTGAATGTAACGAGTCCGTCGGCGCCAAACATCGGCAGCAGTCCAATGCCGCAAAAAGTAATTGCCATCAAACAGCAAAATGGCGAGGTAGATCCCGAGATGAAGAGTTTTGTTGAGAATCTACGATCGCAGGTCGAAATTTTTGTGAATCGTATGAAAAGCGACTCATCCCGAGGACGATCCATTGCCAACGACAGTTCCGTCCAAACGCTCTTTATGAACATCACTGCTTTGCATTCGCGGCTTTTGAAATACATTCAAGATCAGGAGGACAATAGAGTGTATTACGAGGGTCTTCAGGACAAGTTGACACAAATAAAGGATGCCAGAGGTGCGCTGGACGCGTTGCGCGAGGAACATCGCTTGGCGCTGCTGCGCGAGAAACAAGAAGCTGAGAGAAAAAAGCAAATGCAAATGGCTCAGAAACTAGAAATCATGCGCAAAAAGAAGCAAGAGTATTTGCAGTATCAACGCGAATTGGCTCTGAGAAATATCCAGGAACAAGAACGAGAGATGCAGATGCGCCAGGAGCAACAGAAACAGCAATATAAACAATTGGCAGGGGGATTTCAATCGATTCCCGGTTTTATGGGCCCGCCAAACCAAGGTTCTCCGGTGCGACAGATGCAATTTTCGGCAGGCCCAGAGGCTGCTTNTTATTATTACCATTATTATCATTATTATTATTATCATCATCATCATCATTACTATGTACACAAGAATGCGAGCAAGCTTATAATACATGAAGATAAGAAAAGGGGTGACGACAAGTACCAACATATACAATGATTTTAGAGCGTGGTTACAAGCTTTATTGTTTTTGTGTGAGTAAATGTGTATACCTGTGTGTGCGTGATTTATACACGTGTACCAACCCACCTAGTAAGTACGAGAATGAGTGTGCACATGAATCGAGGTGGATATATTTTTAAATCGAAGGTCGTATCATGAACTACTGCAGTTTTATTTCTTTGCTCCTGCGTAAATTGTAATCCATTATAGGAAGAGCTGGAGAGTAGTGTGTCGTCATCACCGTCACTCATGCTTTTGATTTATCGAGTGGATGTGGCGTGTGGAAAAAAAAGTACTACATGTATTTTATACCTTTTAATGATAAGGTATTTAAAATAGCGCTGCAAATTAAAAACGTCAAATTTCAACACTACGAGAAGAAACGTATTTCAACAACCAGATCGAGCAGAATTATTAATTGTTAATGATGCTTGTATCGTCCAAAGTGACCATTAAAATTTAAATTAACAAAGTAAAATTCATTGTATAATGCAGGTATATACATACGCAGAAAACAGAAAATGATTTTGGTGACGATTAGGGTATATGTGTCAACAACAAAGATGACTCTGTAAAAAAAAAAAAAAAAAAAAAAAAAAAAAAATGACGGTCTTCTATACCTATGTAATATACTATTAATAGTATGTTACAATTGTCATCAATTGACTTTCTCTTCTCGCACATTTTACGTCTTCACAATTAATGTAAACTCAGTTGAACTCTGATCTGTCCCGGAGCCTATTTCGGAGCTATGGCGTGAAGTACTGTTCAATAATAGGGTCCAGGACGAAATAGCTTTTCAAATTTCGCGCGTAACGAATCAATGTCTGTCGAGTGTAAGTACACGTATACACATAATACAAGTGCGATTGACCCGGGAGAAACTCTTCGGGTCCTTTTATATCACGAGGAAGATTTCCGTGAGCGACATGCAAGTCCTGAATCGGTTATGCATCGGCGCAGCACACACATTGTGCTAATTTTTGCATGAAAGCACGAGAAAGAAGGAAGAAGCGAGAGATTTGCGTCAATTATGCAACGAGCGTCAAGTAGGTATACATACCTACTCACCTATTGCTTGCATTTTGCTTTCAGGCTCGTTGAAAGCGAGCGCCGTAATTATCATCGGCGTCGTCATGGACCGTAGGTAAGTATTACGATATTTACTACGTTTAGTTGGGGCGTAACATAACGATGAACGTTGCGTGTGTTGTCGGTTTTTCCTTCCGCTCTCGCTCTCGATGAGTACCTACTCGTCAGCTATAGGATAAAAACTGGGATCAGCAGGTATAGTACCTATAACTTGTTGGGTCGTCTGCGCTTTCTCTTTCAATCCCGTTCGCGATCAAACTGCTCAACTGCCGCAACGTCAACGGCTACGCGAAAAGTAGAGTACGATATACCTAAGTAAGACCAGTGTAGGCATGTCAAAAACAAATGTACACGCAAGGTTGCCGCCTAAAAATACGAATGGCACGTGAGAGAGAAAACAGTTAAGATTGTACCTTTACGTACACCTACTCCTCACATAGTGGAAGTACCTGTTATCATATCAGGCTCAAGCCCATCACCCATCGTCTACTTATCCTCGCACGCACATATTAAACCAATGACGATCGAGTAACGTCAAAAAATTGGCTCATCTTATACCTTCTCTACATGAATAGTATTCATATACCAGAGTCGAGATTTTCAAGGAGCAACTCCAAAGTTAAGGAAGAAAAAAAAGGATAGAGGGAGTCTTCCCACGCAGCTATGACTGACGATTCGTCATCATCTTGATGGTAAGCTGGAGGTAGGCACGTAATAAGTGAAAGACCCATGGTGAGACATACCTTATATTTTACCACTTTTGGGTGCCAAATTTCCAAGAATCAATTAAAGAGTTAGGGAAAGGGTGGGGGGAGAGAAATAGACAACGAATGAGTTTTTCTTTTACATTTAAGAAAAGAAAGTTACGTTTCAGCCATGTTCATAATAACTCAATGACAGTTTGAAAATACAAACGTTAATTGATCATTGGAAGAAAAATTTATAGTAGGATTTAATACACTTTAATAGTCATGATTCAATATTATGTGTGCTTCGATTCACGTGAAGTGATGATTTCACAGTGAAAATTTTGGGGCTGAGGGTTTTACAAGATTAATTAACGTATTATGAGAAGCCTTTAGTTTGAATTTCAAGTCATTATTATTCAAATTGGTTTAAACTTTTTGTTCATACTGTCAGCAGCAGAAGTCGCGTTTTGCTTATTGTTATTTACTTAGACCACTCTTATTATCTTATTTAGCTCCTCTTGTTTCAAGTAACAGGACCAGTGATGGCAATCAGCACCATTAGGTACAGTTGTATTAGCTTATATGAGGTTACAGGAGACTACCTTGATTATAAATGAAAACTATTAAGACGGATACTTGGTTATTTTCTTATTTTCATAAAAACCAGAAACTTCTACAACAATTTACAAAAAAGTTGGGTCAGACAAAAATGACGAGGGAAGCCAAGTTATGTGTGGTGTTGAAAACAACTAGATAATTTTTTGACACAGTGTCAAAAGTATAAAAAAATTTTGTAAACTAAAATCTCCTAATACTGAGCGCTGATGTTTGAATGATTGCACTTAAAAGTACATCTGGTAAAGACTGTTGTATTTGTACGACAGTGAAGACGATTTTTTTTGTTAGTCTTACAACGACCTACTACATTTTCAGCAAAACAACTTCCTCCGGATAATCCAACCAAGAAATTACAAGGCATTTTTATCTTAAGGTGGTAAAACGGACCGCCACCTTTTGGGATCATCATACATGCATATATCGTGTTATGTATACATAAATTACTTCTCCCCGTAACTGTTTGCTTTCGGTTCTTTCTCATTCTTTCTCTCTGCAGCAGTATTACTTAGTTTTCGAAAACACTTTATGATGTGTATTAAAACGAGTACATGATTATAATAGCAGTTATAGTATGGAAGTACGCGTGACTTTGCGTTAAAACATTTTAACACGCGTCATTTTTCGTGTGTAAAGTGCTTATCTGCTCCACGACACGTCATCGGCTTCTTTATTGTACATTGGGTAGGTACATAAGTAATATGATGATTCACCTCTCGATGTAACCTCTTTCCTTTCGAGTGAAAAATTATTGTGTATCGACTACGTATTGTTGTGTTATCCGAATTCCATTCTAATTGTGCAAGACGAATTTTTAGCTGCGGAGACATCGACTCATCATCATTAAAGAGATGCAATAATATTTGCGATGGCAATCATTTAACCAACACTATGTTTTGCAGTGTTTTTACGCACGAGGTTGCTTACTCTGTAAACGTCGCATGATACATTGAAATATTAATTGAAATTAAAAAAAAAAACTTGTAGACTGTGGCACGTTGACCCAAATAAGGACTCTACGCTCTCAGAGAGAGAGAGAGAGATAGCAGAGAAGGATCTGCGCACTGCAGGCGTCAACGTCGTCTCGACTTGCATCTGGTGCATGATAATGTAGTACATTTAATTTAATCCCTTCGTGTCGCGAAGAATAAATAAAAAATGTCAGCTCTTCATAGTTTTCGATTTTTTAATCCTTCATGGCACACATACGCGCTAATTCTATAATCGGCGGTATGATGATAGTAGTTTTCCTACGAGTTTGAAAAGTCTCTGTTTGCGAACCGAGAGGTTTGCGGCCCAGGCCGAAGGCGAGGGACGTAACGAGGTTCGTAAAGGAGACTTTTCGAACGAGTTCCGGAAAACTACTTTTTCGCCCGTGGAAGTACCAGCCTCCCAAAACCACCCGAGGGCGGAAAAAGTTTTTTCATTGTACTCAAAAGTGTAAGTTTTTTTCTTTTCTTTTTTAATGAATATCAGTACACATTCAACTAATCGCGCTGAAGGAATACATTTCGCTTCGATTTTTACAATAGTATTTATCAATTAAGATTAAATTAACTTGCGGTGGTGACAATTCCGTTTCAAGTTTTATCAAGCTAATTATTTAATTAACAATGCGCCCCATTAAGCGTACCTATGTAGTTTTTTATTCTTTAAGCGAATGAAACGATAAATGGTTTTTTTTTTCTAGTGAAAAAAATGTGTGTGCCCATTTCGCAATGATCCCTACTTAGTACGAAACTCGCGAGTCAAATAACGCGGATTCCACAGAAGATTGAGAGAAAACCAACAGAGACTCCTCACTCTCCGGGCACGTACTCGCACGTACCTACACATGTATAGAGAATCTTCAGAGAAGCCCATACCGAAGGTCAACTTGTGACGATAAGCTGCACCTCCTTCCCCTCTTTCTCAACATGGCATAAATCGTACCCATCCAAGCTCGAGAAAAAAAAAATACCTAAGAGTTGAAAGTAAAAAAAAAAAAATTAACGTCACGCACGGTATTTTTTTTCTTCGCAAGGCTGAATCTTCACCCTCCTCTCCTTCTCTCGTGTCCACTATCTTGCGCGAACGCGAATTTTAAATCGGTCAAACCTCACGCCTTGTACGGTCTCGAACTTGCGCAACTTGAATTCGCGCGCCACGATTGCGATACACACACGCGCGCTCCGCGGACGCTAAGCGTGAGTGTATATAATGCTTCCTTTCTTTGGGCTTTGCAATGAAGGTACCCTTCTTCTTTTTTTTTTTTTTTTCTTCATCGATCCATATTTATCGAAATAAGTAAGTATCGAGCGACGGCGGCGACGATGATGAGCGAATGAAAAAAGCACAGTGATGTGACTCATCTTCGCAGTGTAAATATTGATAGGAATAAATCATAATCATATGTATTAAAGATGTTGTGAGACGCCGATGTAAAAAGATGTTTAGTGGCTGCTGCTGGGCATAAAAAAAAAAAAAAAAAAAAAAAAAAAAAAAAAATTCGAAATCTTACTTACGATGTTTGTTTACGATATTCGTATCTCTCATTGTATACGGAACGAAAACGACACGAACCAGATAGCATGAGAGTAAAACAGAAAAGTATATCTCTAAAAAAGAAACCTCGTTGTCGTTCTTTACATTGCCACAAAAATGCCACAGGTTTGTCGCAATTCATTCAAAACAGCTGAGCAACATATTATAACTACTTATTCGACGAATGATGACCACTATTATAACATCGCAGGTTCGATCCTTTCCCCCGATCATGTACACACACATACCTATATATACACACCCGAGGAAAGGAAGGAGCAAAAAGAAGAAGGCTGACTCGGCGCGGCTCGACAATTTTCGCAAGGCGAGCGCGAATATACCCAAGTAAGTACACCGAACCAACCAACCGCAACTATATATAAAAGCCATATGTGTCGCGCCAGAGAAATTTCTCTCTTCGTCGTCCGTTCGCGGTGGGCCCCCCTTCAGTCCTATAAGATGGCGCCTCCGACGTTTTTTAGCTGATCATCAGCCACTCGATTTTTTTTTCTTTTTTCCTTCTTTAAATGACCCTGCACACCCGATGTTTACATGTACCTTTTCATACGCGAGCTGATTCAGAGGCCTGAGTCACCGCGTGACCCCAAACTTCTCTCTTCGTTTTTTAATTAGTCGTCACGAGAGAAAAAAGATCCGAGTTTTCAGGGGGACGAAGTATACGTATTTGCACTGTATCTTTGGACCAGGTGTACAAACAAGTGCTTCACGCCTTATAAGTAAGTATATATCGAGTATATACATATGTAGGTACAACTGCACCGAGAGTGCGAGAAAAAAAAAAAAAAAAAAAAAAGTCGAAAATACAGCAATACACGGATCTATTTCGAATCTGAGTTTTTTTTTCTTCGTTTGTTTTTGGTTTCTAAAACGCAAGAGAAAAAAAATGTTCGAGAACGGAAAGTGAAGCTCGTTCGTAGATTGCATTCGCTCGACTCGCACTTTCCGGAGAAGAAGGTATCACTATTTCTTTGCAAAAATTGAAGTGCAGGAGGTATTCTCGACTAATGACGAGCCAAAACCAAAGAAGGAGGCGACTCTAATTGGAATTTGCGCAACGATCTCGTTAAGGGGAATTTTCACCATATACAGGAGAGTCCCAAGACGAAAAAAGTGGTCACTTCGTTGAGTGGGTATATCAACAATGGTCTCATTTGGCGTTCAATTTGAACAACAAAGATAGCATTTTGAAAATTCACGCAGCTGCAGTCTACAGGAAACACATGACCTCTCGGTAAAAGGTGAAAATATCATTAATAATGAAAAAAAAAAAAAAAAAAAAAAAAGTGTTGTCTCGCGCGTTACGTCAACGATATATGGAAATAATGTCGACAGGTAAGTAGGTATTATTATTATTATTGCTGCTCCGCTATCTAACAAAACACAAACGTAAAGAAGTTATTCCGTACGTAATTATTGACGATACCAAATATGTTTTTCTAAAGTCATAAGTAGTTTTGTTGCGAATTTATCGAGAGAAAAACGAAGGAAACATACTTTTCAAAGACGGCGAAACTTTCATCTGTCCCTATAGTTCATCGACCCACTGGCAAGAAGTACTACACACACGCGCGCGCGCGCACACACACACACACACACACACACACCACACATCGTCTACTGGGGGTTTACTATTGTAAATTGTAACATAATACACATTGTGTGTTACGCGGCTCCATTAATGCTACAGGTACTTGGTCTCTGCGCGCGTGCAAGTTCAAGTGCACCTTTCCAGTCGATCAGCTGACAATCCTCCCTTTCTCGCGATACAGATATATGTGGCATGGAAAAAGGGAAGATGCGCGAACTTTTATTCATCATGGGCGCGCCAGTGTTTGTTGTTGGACTTGTTTAAATGCTCAAGAGCCAGTGATAACGGACGTAAAAACAAAAACATACCGGGCACAGGTGCAATAATATAATTGTACAGACGAGCAGGTATGTACCTACATACTTTTTTGCTGTTTTATTTTCTTCGAGTATAAGTATTAAAAAGAAGAACATGTAAGTATTGTGTGCTTTGTATTTCTGTTTTTAGAGCCAACGACAGCAGCAGCCCCTTCTCGGTCTACGTGTGCAATAAGACCAATGTCGACTCTTGTTATCTCGCGAAAGAGCATTTTTTCTTTCTTTTTCCTCTATGAACATATACGTATAGGTTTACAGAGGAAACAATCAAGTTTAGAAATCATCATGATGTTTGTATCATTACGTGTCTGAACTAGACAAATTATTTTTCAACGATGATAATAACCGTCTAGTTCTTGTTAAAGATAAGCACAATTATCAAACAAACCATGAGTGTCTTTAACGAGTAAACCTATTTAAACGCAATTTACTAAAAAATTAAACGTCACCACGATGGGGGAGAAAATTATTTAATAACAAAGGATTTAAATCAGCACGGGTTTTGAAACAATGTCATTACGATTACCAGAAAGGGTACATGCATGGAGAGAAAGAGAACACAGCAGACGGTGCCCGATTAGATAGAGACGCATCCATCATACAAGAAATAAAGAAGATATGAACAAGAGAAGCATGAGAGTTTTTGTTCTCGTTACTTATTTGCTAAAGATTCATCGTCATCGCGCAAGTATATACATGTATCATAATAATATATTTGCGATTTTCGTGAATCATTGAGATGTTGCATTTTACGCATCCATAGTATCCAAGGGCTCACATGACTTGTCAAGTTTATAATTGCTATTTTATTACTCATAGGAATAAGTAAGTACTTTTACATTTTGGAATGGAAAGTATGCACGTGTGAACTGGAAGATAAGAAAAAAAAATAAGCCGATGTAGTATAATTATGTATATGATCGCAAAAAAAAAGGAGAAGGAAAGTAAATCCGTTCAAGTATGTAGTATAGGTACTGAATACATAGGAAGCGTCCGTTAGCGCAAAAAAGAGCATAAGCAGCAGAAAGGAATAAAAAGCGAAAGAAAGAGAGAAAGACGCGGGCTGCTCGCGCTGTGTGCGCGCGAGAGGTGAGTCAGGGCCGCGTTGGCAAAATAAGTATATATTATACACATGCATATATACCACGAATTAGTACAAGCACTGGTGTGTCTCTTATTCTTTCTTTCCTTCTTTCAAGTACTCAGGTATACTTACCAGTGGAAAAAGGGTCAGAGTAGTAAATGGTATCATTTTGGAGTGAGTGATAACTCGATAAGCAAAACCATATTCTGTTTGTGAGTAGGTATGCATGAACGAGATATGATAGGACGACAGATGTGGAGTCGTGGAGATGAAGCTCGAAAAACGTTATATAGGCATACGTCTTGCGTATTCTGCCAGCAGCAGAAAAAAGCAGGGGCCAACAGGGAAACGCCCGAGACAGCAACTAACCTGTTGCACCCCTTTCTACATTTTATCATCAAATATTTTTTTTTTTAACTTTAACTATTACCTGTTTGACGTAAAATAGGGTACATGGGGTTGAGTAGTCATAAAACTATGGAATCATACTATCTATATGTACAATTTACATGCACTTTGTACGATACACGTTCAAATTAATTATTGGAGTAGATACATTTCGTGTGTTTTGATTATGTACACAGACGGACAAACATAAGCAGATCAGACACTACCCACACAGTGCATATTGTCGTGTGTAAAAAATATGATAAAGTTAGTATGTATAGTTAACATTGTTTATACTTGTGTGTTATATATACTTAAATAGACAAAAAAAAGAAAAAAAGAAAGTGTACTAACGTAGATGAGGCCAGAATAGTATCTATCTTTGAGATTGTGTAGAACCGAGGCCTCGTTGAGACAGGTGAGCTCAGCCATGTCCTCGGCCTTGTCGAACTTGGGCGGATTCATCTTCTGTATGTCATCCTTGGCTACGAGGACGCGCTTGCCGGTTTCGACGATCTCCACCTCGACCTCGTCGCCACGCTCGCCCTTTATGCTCGCCGCGACGAAGCCTTGTTGCTCCGAAGGCACCCATATCAGCTTCTTTTGCGTCCACTCGGCCTGAGTCGCCGGATCGTTGAAATTGTTCCTGTCGACCGAGAGGATCCTCAACTCCGGGTCTGAGCGGTCCACCCTTGAGTCTGCGTCCGCCATCTTTGACACACTCTCACAATAATAACCGCGCAACCACGCACACACCAGCTATAGTTGTAGCACTCGGCACTCGGCAGCAATACTATACAGTACAGTAGTTACAGCAGCAGCTGCGAGTTAACTCGTTATTTTATATTGTTCTAGTTTTTTTTTTTTTTAGTTTTCGGAGCTGTTGCTGCTGAACTCTCTCTCTCTCTCTCTCTCTCGTTCACTATTTCTATAATACTCTTTGCCAGTACCAATAACAATTTCGCGGTTGTATGTGTATTTCCCTCGTTTTTTTTTCCGGGGTTGTATCCAAGTAAAATTGAACGCGCTCGCGACCGCTAAACCAAACCAACGCTCACCTCCTCTCGTCACTCCGTCTCTCGCACTTCTGAAGGTACTGTCTGTACGTACAAACCGTTCTCTTTGTAGCTTCACTATACTAACAACGTAAGCAGTCTGCACGTCGGCGGCAGCAGCAGCCACTGTTTTAACCGGCGCTATGCGCGAGAGGCTCAATTGGACAGAGAGGAGGGGAGTGTATAATACTTACATATACACGTATATATACGTATACATACATATTAAATTGTGCCGCTGATGAAAACGTGTACAGTGATATGCGTTAGTACGATACAATGCAACAGAAATCAACACTGACCGATCGGGCACTGAGGGGTGTTGAGGACACCTTTCCTTATACCTATTACTTTTCTAATGGGGTAGGTACGATTATGATTCACGACTCTAATCCTCTAATGAAGTTGGTGCTTCAGTGGCATTTCAAACGAAATCATCGAGTGATTCGACTACTTAGCAGTTAAATCGGTTTTACTGATTTAATTGTAGCCCCCCCCTCCACTTCGTAAAAGGGCCCTCGACGCATGCAAATAAATAGGACTCAAATGTTAAGTAAAAATGTCCAAGATTGCAGAGCAGAAAAGGAGCATTCGGTATTTTAGTACCGATCAACAAGACTCCGATCTTTGATCTGAAATCACCGTCTACGAAGTATGTTTTAAAAAATAAAGATATATGGTTCCATACATAATTTACCGACCTTGCTCAAACAGACGGCGGCTTTACTTTAACTTTATAAACATTCTGATTCATTTTTCTTATCGTGCTCTGATAAGTAAGTAGTTATTACTACTAAAGGTGAGTAATTCACTAGCTGTCGGTAAACCCAATAGAGCATCGTTTTTTCAGACCAATGAATTTGAGTAAAACCAAAACTATATATATGTGTACATACCTGCCTTTTGTCACGGATACTTAGTGGTAAAATTTTTTCGTTATTATATGAAATTTAGTTTTTAACAATAGAAATCACTGATTTAAGTTTTTCCAAGAGTAAAAGTTTTTTTCATTTTTTTATTGTACAATTTGATAAATAACCGAAAGTTAAAATAAAAAATTTTATAACGCAAATCTAGATTGATTTACCCGATTCCAAAGTTGAAACGAATTTTATTACCATCAAAATATATTTTGAAACAATTTCATTACATGATTAGGCATTTAAAAATTGTCAAAAGAAAATTAGGTATTAAGCAACGAAAAGTTAGTCAACAAAGCATCGTTATATATGAGTACAGCATATGAATTAGTAATTCACATTCAAACTGCGACGCATAAAATTAAATTTGAGAGAATTTCAATTATAAAAAATGTTACACAACGGTAATATAAGTCGGTCTATTGTTATTGTGCTTTTTATTTAAATTTTCTTATACAGCTTTCCTCCTCTGATTACTTTAACAAGCATTTGCTTGATAAACAGCAGAAACAATAATCCAGGTATAAAAGAAAAGCTTATAAAAATCATAGGATGGTAAAAACAAATTAAAATCGTAGAGGATGAACTCAGTTAACTTTGGAAAGCGTTTTTAACTTCTTCAGCTTCGTCATCGTCTTCTTCTTCACCTTCGCTCTCGAACGTATTATCAGGAATATCGTAGAGCCGGATCATGGGCTTGTTGGGATCCTTCATGATTAGGTACTTACCATCCTTTTGCTTCATGCAGACGTCAATTATACATCTCAGGATACCCCAGGCGTTATCCATGTTGAGGTTGATTTGGTTGGCAAACTCAGTGGGCTTGTACTGTTGCGTCTCCAGGATGACATGTTTACTCGAATCTCGTACACTAGCACGAGATACGTAACCGAACTTCAATTGGTCAGAACCGGCCAAAAGAGCTTGCACAGTCCACTTGGCGAGCTTGCAGGCATTGTTACGCAACTCGTTAGCAAGGACGGCACCGCGTTGGGTGTCAAGCTTGCGTCGCCATTCTACGCCATTGGCCAGTTTTGAGTCCCATTCATTGAGAGCCTTGATGGTTAAGAACTGAGTCTCATTATTAGGCGCCTGCATTACAGCGTCATGCTCGCATCTGGCAATCAGCGTGATGCCGTTGTTCAGATCCCACTTGCGGTATCTGTATGCAACACTAGCTACTTCGCCTTCTTCCTCCTCAGTAATAAAAGGATTAGGCTCATCAAATTTGTATTTTGGCTCGTTGGACTTAAGCACTTGCTGTGAGAAATTGTGGTTGATAAAGGTGGCTTCCAGAGCCAAATTTCTCGGCGAATTCAAAGAATTGCCATCATCCTGGGGTGGCTCAACAGCTGTCTCATTAACGGTAAGCAAATCGAACTCGGTGTTGTCTCTTTTATCAAAGAATAACTTGTTGCCAATTTTTTCTATGACGATATCCCAAGAGTAATTACTGCGTGTGCAGCACATGATGGTAGCCAAGATAGCATCTGTGGCGTACACGTTGCCCTCAGTTTTAGACAATTTACGGATAACAGGGTCATCAGTGGTGGTGACCGTGTGAAAGATACGGTCAATCCTCTGCAAAGGCTTTTCGTGTTTAACATTAACTCGATCCCAGCTCTTATCATAAAATTCCAGTGCACCACAGCAGACAATGTCTTCGCCTTCTTTGACGCCCGGCAAGGTAAGTTTACTAAGACGAGGAAAGTCCATTTCCTCGATAGTAACCCAGTCGGGTCTGACGGTAACAGAGGCATCCCGGATTTTGATGGGCGGTTGATTCTTATTATTTCTGAAACCTTGTTGACGGCCCCAGCGCTTTGTTTGGCCCTTGCGATCGCGCTCTCGTAACTTTAGCTTACCCAAAGCTTGCATCTGAGTCAGGCCACCACGACTACCACCACGACCACGAAGACGTTGGTTTTGACGGCCAAATCGGCCACGCTGGTATGGTGGTTTCTGAACACGTGTAGTGTCAACCAGATGAAATGTTGATTCATCCTCATCGTGGTAATAAGCATATTGCCCATTGTAACCAAATTGTGATGCATATTTGTCTACAAGAATTAAGAAAATCTCAGTTTAGTGTGTAAAATTAATTGACAAGAAATGTATTAACGAATCAAACATCTGTCGAATCAAGATAAACCTAAATAATTTATCTTATTGAATATTTGTAAAAGCAGAAAAGTTTGTCAGAAAGTTTGGAAAATACTCATCCAATGATCAATATTGTGTTTTAAAGTAGAATAAATAAAAAAAATGAATGTGCTTGATGAAAAAAAAATTGCATTGGTCAAAATTCAAAATTAATAGGTCAGAAAAAGTAAAAAATAAAAAACTTACTTGCAAATTTTTTATCTTGAAATGCTGGACCAGTCCAGTCAGAGATCTGTCATCAAAAAAACATAAGCAATGAGCCATGAAAAAAATCAAGGAACTAAAGCATAATGCTGCATGGCAATCGAAGAAAAATACGCACTTTGCCGATACGGTCGCCCTTGGAGAAGGGCTGATAGGGTATATCCTTGAACTGCTCAGGCAGTTCACAGGGTCCCCAGCCATCTGGATTGTTCTGCACTTTAGGTGGTATGAAGTGCTCCTTAACCTCGACATAATCTTGATGATCTACTATATGCTGGTGCTCCTCCTGATGCTGCTCTTCCACCACATCCTCGCTCTGGGTCTCAACGACGGCCATCTCGCCGTTCGTCTCGTCGGCGTGCATACTTATCTAGCCTTTTCGCTCTACAGCAAAATGTAACGTAAACGCATGTAATGATGTCACAAATTGCGGAACCAGTAGTCGTGCAGTTAATTCACCAGTTAGTACGGATATCATTAGATCTAGATAATAGTTACCTTAGAAAAGAACCTGACAATCGGAAACTTACAATTATGTAGGTTATCTGCGGAACCGCCCTGGCATGTGTGGTGATGCTTCCGCTGCTGGTGCTAGGACGTCGTCTTCGTCCTCGTCGTCGTGACAAATCGGGAAGAGGTGCAGTGAACAGAGCGCCCCCCACACGCCCCACGTACGCCACACGCGCACGCACTCTGCACTGTGCATATGTGTGTGTGTGTGTGTGTGTGTGACACAGTGAACGGCGCGAAATTTGAACATTTGTACTTACATGGAATTCCTTTTATTTTTATTTTATTTTAACATTTCACTAAGTCCTTGCTGGTTGCAGTTTTTAGTACATGTTTTTCATGAAATTTTCATCAATTATATTACAGAATGTAGGATTCTCTTATCATAGGTTACCCAAAACAAGCGCTCATATGGATATTATTACATGATTATTACAGGTTTCGAGTTTGGTTTGGTTACTCATATAGGTACCATCAATTAGAGAGAGATGGAGTGTGGTGAGTTAGATATCTAAGGGTTTGATATTATCAACGTTTGGTTAACCAGAAATTTCGGAAAGAGGAAAAAGTATGAAAATTATTTGATAACAAATAGGGTTTCCTTTGCGAAACAAAAATTTTTTTGTGAAAAATAAAAAACCAGAACAACGTTTGAGACAATTGAAAACAACAAGTTCAATAAATTCTAGCATAATTTATTGCATATATAAACATTTGATACATTGCATATATAAACATTTGATTACTTGATAAGTTTGAAGAAATAAGTATGGAATATTTGATCGAGGGCTTAGTTGGAGAACGTTTTCTAACAAATTTGGCATGTCCACCTTTATGTTATTCACGTTAAAACAAAAATTTTGCGCGCACTTGTTGCGTATTACAATGGACCATCAATGAAAAATTTTGTTTCTCAAAGTTTTTTACAAAAACAAATGACGCGAGTACTTGTAGTGAAATTTCAAAATGAGAAAACAAAAAAAACACATTCAGACTAAGAATTTTTTATCATTTAGATATCTACAGCATGACAAAACGAGAGATCGATTGTATAAAATTTGAGCTGTCTACCCTCCATTGTTATAATTATATGCATCTTGTGCCTTTCGTTTTGCTTGCGACTGTAAAAAACGTTGTTCGCTATGTTTCTGTCGGACGCCTCAACCGTTTTGATCGTTTTTTTTTTTTTTTTTTTTTTTTTTAACCCGCATACTCTGAATTATCGTTACACACTGGAGGGACGAGCTCGCGAGTACTTTGTTACTTGTTACTTATTTTTCAACCCGAATCATCTCGGTATTAAAAAAAAATTTATTTATTGTTTTTTAACCATAACGGAAGATGTATCATTTAATTTTTGTCGTCGAATAATGTATGGTTTTACAAAGGATATGTTAAGTCACTTGTGCAGAGAATATCGCTAATTATCGATATTACTTCTTTTAAATCGTATACGTCAAATTTTTAGTAAAAAAATATAATGCCGACAAGATTAATGATACTCATAACTTTGGAATCAAAGATGGAATGAAAGTCGAATCAATTGGGGAAAGAAGGCGCATGCTGCACTGCGAAACCAGTGAGAAAATTATCTTATCACAGTTACAATGCACGGTACTCGCCTGAGAAGGAAAGTATACAATAATAATAATAATAATAATAATAATAATAATAATAATAACAATAATTTTTCTTGGTTCCCATTTTTATCAAATTAATAACTATTTTTCATTCGCTTCGAACGAGGACTAGAATTGAGTACTTATCGTTAATGGGCTGCAACGTAATAATACAACGGGGGCGTCTAGGCCTTATTAAATTTCGGCCTAAAAAGTCCTCTACGAAATAGAAAGTGAAAAATACAGAGCTAACAGGAGATATTTTTTTCTTTTAAAAAGTAATTTGGATAAGGAGAAAAATTTATAGAAAAATTCATGGATTAGTGGGTGAGTGGTTTTCGCACCCATCTTGGGCTATAGGAATTGCGGTTTGTACATTATTTTTCTTATTTTTGTTTCTTCTCCAACATTTTTCATTTTCCGATGGCTTATAGCTACAATATAATTACATATACATTGACTCGAAAAATTTTTTTTCATTTCTAAATTTGAGGTATTGCCAAGTACATGCATTTTTTTGTATCCTGAATTTTATTTTCACATGTTGTTTCTTAATTGAATCACTCTTCTTAATGAGTAATTGCGTATAGGCTCATGGAAGTCTCGTCTAGCTTGGCTAAATCTATATACTGCACGTACATAAATAGCGTTAAGTACACAAAAAAATTTTCAACTTACTCAACAAAATCATTTATTGGCAAGACTTGATTCCGGCCTGTAATGCAGCGATTTTTTTCTTAAGCTTTTCTTGCGTACATCTAGCCTCTAGCGTGCTTTCAACTGGAATCGAAAAATAATCAATGTCCAAGGCCGATACTTGTAACGAAATCTACATACAATTACATTTCATCTCGTATCATCACGAGTGATCCCCTATCGAAGATAAATTAACTAACACATATCACAGAATGCGTAGATTATTTTGTCGCGTTTTGAAAGAAGAGATTACAAAATGAGAGGAAATCGGTATACATAATGTCATAAAATTACTTATGTTTGTACATGTAAAATGATCAAAGGAAGTAGGTACGCGAGACAAGGAGGATAATGGACGCTATGCGGCGGCTTAAATATTATCATGTAATTGTATCGTGAGAGGAAGAGATTCATCTAGATGAAGTTTTTTTTTTTCGATTTCCACGGATCTTCTTTGCGCCAATCTGGATACATTTTATATTACAGGGTAAATTTCTTTGCTTCCTCTATAGAGCTTCAGTACTTTTATTCGTGTATTATACATTATCAAGCCGCTTTATCATTTCTATAATTAAAAAAATACAGGTAGTTGGTAATAATAATCATCATCACGTTGCAAATAGTTTTAATTACATAAAAATTTTGTGTACCTATCAGAAATGAACGACTGCAGAGCAAAGCTATCATCAGATCCAGAATGTTGCAACGTCCGTTCCAAGCTACTGATTGAGGAGAGTGTTGGTCACCTCAGAGATGGATAGCAGAGGACTCCCAGCGTCCGGTTTAGAATCTGCGAGGCAGACGTTATTGGCATCGCAGAGTTGATCGAGGCCTGCACCTGACCTGGATAGTGCGACTCGCTGCTGTTGTTGTTGGCGGTGGTTGTGGTGGTGTTGCTGTTGCTGCTGCTGCAGTTGTCGGTTGCGGACGACGTGTTGATGCTGCTGCTGCTGTTCCTGTTGGATGACGTCAGTTCCGTTACCGATGATAATGTGCTGCGACATCAAGCCATCATCACCTATTACACAAGTCTTATATCCAGTAGAGATGTTTCGTTAATGTTTTTTTTTGTTTTTTTTTTTTTTTTTTCCTAATTTAATACAGGCGCCTATCCCGACTATACTTTATTAATTAAAAAAAAAAAAATAATATTNTTTACATCCTTTCTCCCTGACAATTATATATATATACATGTATACACACGTATACACAAGAAAAGTGCAATCGACTGTTCGAGATAGAAAGATATTTTGCAATTTTGCATTATCCAGTGACACTCACTGAGACGCGTGCCGTGGTGATGGTGCAGTTGGATGATGGTGGTGATGGTGTTGGTAGGGATAGTACTGGTAGTGATGGTGTTGTTGTTGTTGTTGTTGTTGATGGTGGTGCTGTTGTTGTTGAACCCCTTGCCATACCTCGCTGCTAGGCGTTCCGTCGTTTTGCTGCTGCTGGTTCGCGTACCCGCTGCCACTTGCGTAATGCGCTGACGTCACGACCGAATAGTGCTGCTGTTGATGTTGTTGGGATGGTGGTGGTGGTGGTGTTGGTTGATGGACCTTTGAGGTGAGGAGTCGGGGTGGACTCGGGGCTGAAGGCACACCTGGACATACGGGCGAGGTCCTCTTCCATTTGCAATCGCCGTTCATCGAGTTCATCTCTTGCAAGCTCTTTAGTGGATCGGAACGGGCTTTAAAAGATAAAAGGAAAAAGGGGAAAATAAAATTATCAAGTAAAGAGGCATATTCATTAAGTAAAGCTTCAAATTGATGATAAATTCTTACGATCCAGTGGAGTGCGAGCTGGGGTGGGTGGACTGTAGCTCCCATTGTTTCTGGGTGGCGTTCTCGACGTCGGTGGAGCGCCCCACATGAGCACAGTCTGTCTAAGAGGCTCGACACCAGGGCCAGAGTAAGCCTCCGACTTGACGTCCTCGATTTTGGGCGTGAGCACTCCGTTGTTGTTGTTCGTGGCTGGCGAGCTACCCGCCGAATTAGTCGAGGCACCCTCCAACGAGTGCCGGCTGCCAGCCCTCGCACTGCTCACCACGATGGAGACGGAGGACTCGGCGTGCTGCTGCTGCTGCTGCTGCTGTTGGAGAACAGGACTGCTCAGCGCGTGGTAGGCAGAGGAGCGCGCGTCGCTGTTCGAGTAGCCGTACTTTGGCGAGTCGGGCGTCGCAGCCAGCTGCTGGTGACTCTCGTACGTCGGAGGCAAGGACACGTCAATGAAGCCGTTATAACCCGTGGTCGCGTGATAATCCGGATAGTAAGATCCTAGCGGCCGGTACTGAAAGAGATTCTCCGTGGCCGTGAGGTACCTGCAACGTTGATGATATCCGACCAACCAGCATAATTGAACGTAAAAATATATAAACGACGCGCGCAAGAATTCCTTGCTCACCTGTTGTCGAGAGCCGTAGTGGGATATAGGGTCTGATGATGGTGATGATGATGGTACGTGCCGGTGTGCCCGATATAGGTGCCGAGCGTGGCGGCGGGATCAGTAGCGGCTGGAGGTGGTGGCGGAGCGTACGTGGCCGTCGGGTACATGTGACTGTTTAGATTACCGTAAGCCGCGGCAGCAACCACAGCAGCTGCCGCCGCGCTACTGTCCGCCGTTAGATAGTCGACCGGAGTTACTCCCACGCCCACCGTGGCCGCAGTGACCGGGGTACCGGCTACCGCCACCGTCGCGGCAATCACCGGTCCACCAGTTACCGGCGAGAGAGGCGACAGCTGCTGCTGCGCCGACGAGTGGTGGTTGGCTGACGCTTTGCTCGCGCGCTTGCTCCGACAGGTCGAGAGAAAATCGCGCAGCTGATTCTTGTATCGTCGATTAACTCGCTGAGGCTGAGATTGCTGGGGAGACTGTTGTTGTTGCTGCTGTTGCTGGGATTGTTGGGATTGCTGTTGGCTGGTGAGCTGGGAGCCCAGGCACGAGCTACCGCCGAGACTGTCGCTGTCCGAGAAGTAGCTGTTTGTGAGGCCTGCGTCTAGGTAGCTCACTTTAAAGTCCATCGTGCGCTTGCCCAGGAGATCCCGGCCCTCCTCTTCCCTGTGGGATTTATCAACGAGATGAAAAAACAAAAATACACATCATGGTTTGAAGATTAATAAACGGGCACGCACATCAGAGGCCGGTGTGTACTGATGACAAAGTCGGGCTTGGAATTTTTGTAGACGAGTCTCGAGCTCGTCTGCAGCCACTGCCAGCCACCGTCCTTCGTTTGGTACCTGTAGGCTATCATACCCGAGGCCCCGGTCTTGAGCACTAAACGAGACAAAAATGGGGCACATCAGCCGCTATACATGTGGGTAGCAATAAAAAAATAAAGAAAGAAAAAGCCGACTATACTCACACTCCTGGTGTGCACTGGCGACGTAAGCGAGATCGTCGTAATGCACCAGGCCGTAGCCTCCGAGGTTGGCCAATTCCGAGTCCGAGTACCCGAGGAGGATTTTCCCGCGGGGATCCATGGAGACGAGGCCGAGGTCGAGTTTGTGCTTGCTTTTGAACATGACCTCTTTTTGGGGCACCTCGAGCAAAGAGGGCGGACCGAAGGGCGTGCAAAGGGCAAACAGAGCCAGAGCCAACTCCTCGGTCTTGCGGTTCTGCCCGTGGAGTTCCTTCACTCGGCCTCGGATGTCCAGTCGCTGCGAAAATAGGGAAACGATCATATTTTGCATTTTTTATTCAAATCGAGAAACCTTGTAAGCTCTCTCTCTCTTTCTTTGGAATAATCTTCCACTGTAATTTGTTTGAAAAAAAAAGACTACGACAGAAGCTTTTCCGAAATAATCCCAGAAATTTGCTCATCAACTCTTAATCAAAGAAACAGCAAACACGTATGTGTAATACTACACGCGCGAATCTTTTACCTTTAAAGCGAGAGCGAGGGGTGCCATTAAGGCCTTTTACGATTACAGTTTCATTTTCATAAACGTCATAGCTGCACGTACGGGTGTATAGCCACCACCACCGCTCTCTTTTTTGCCAAGACAGCACAAACTACTACCACCCTATAGTTTTTTCTCCGGCTCCCGAGTAGAGCTATTCCGTTCCTTCTCTTTCTCGTCCTCCTCCCGCTATGTATACTTATGCAGAGAATAATTAATGTTTTGCCTCCTTTCGACTTTATACGAGTCCGCAGACATAGGATATATGTACGTACAACCTATAAACGCGCGGCTCAGCTCATTTGAATTCTAATCAAGGGACTCGCCGTGAGCTCATTAGTATTCATCGCACATTCGAATAAATTACCTTTTTGATGACGTGTAAAAAGTTTCGCGTAGACGTCTATGTCGAAAATTAAACATATTTTTTTTCCGCTACACCTATATTCGTAAAGTCTCGTACTCTACAAGAAATACCGAGAAATACCAAACAACGAAAATCCAAATAAAATAAAGTACGCGTATAATTATCAACACGATTACAAGATATAAAACGGTGGAAGAGGGGGGGGGGTAAATGAAATTTAAAAGAGAGAGAGAGAGAGAGAGATAACAAATTATGATTGGTAAATGTAAACGCGAGACGTTTTTTCCTCCTCGTACTCGTCCGCGCGTGGGCCGCTGAAATTATTAGTGTTGCAAGGATTGGCGAGAGTCGGCCCTTTGAGCCGCAAAGGGCGCCTGCTACTCCGCCTTAATTCGGGAACGACTAAAAAGTAAATAGTCAAGCGCCGCCGCAGCCCTCCCCTTTTTTGTCGTTTGCGGGTTACGTGTAGCTTCGCACCCTACAGCTGCTGGTGTTGCGGATAACGTGCCGGGTGTTCATCATCATCATCAAACGTTTTTGCTTTGAGTTTTTTTTTTTTTTTTTTTTTTTGTTAAATACGAGGACTCACGAGAAATCCCGACGTGTTGTCGAGGAGGCAGCGAAAGCGCACCGTGAAGCTGCGCTCGAGTAGGTGCGAGTGCTGGGGCACGAGTGCCTCGTTCAGGCTCAGGTTCGCGCTTTCCGCCGGCAGGAACGAGTTCCACATTAGCTGGCGCTGCAACTCCTCCCTGTCCTCGCTGTGCACCAGCTCGTACACACTCTGGTGGACAATGTCCGACTGCAAACAAAGTAAAAGAGATGTGATTAATCGATGGAAAATCATTCGGCTCTATTGTACCGGCTGATACTGGTGACGGGGAGTTGGATGAAATTTTGTAGCAAGCCGTGACCGCCCATAGAGCAGAGTGGCGCAGTGGAAGCGTGCTGGGCCCATAACCCAGAGGTCCGTGGATCGAAACCACGCTCTGCTAGATCCCCCTCGATCCTTGTGTCATCTTTTTTTTATTTTATTTAAAAATTAAATAAATATTTATTTATTTTAGTCAGTCCTTTATTGAATTCTTTAGCTCTCTTTTTTTCCTTTCGTTTCAATAATCGCTTCAATGCACTTTTTTTCTACTTACGGAACACCTTATTTGATTCTGATTCATGTATCGTGTTTGCAGCTGTACAACCATACCATAATATTAATTACTCTGGTATCATATTATAAGTAGATTTCGCGAGGTCCAATTTTTCGTCTCTATTGATATGGACAAACGCATACAATCGTCAACACGCACCCATATGTGCATAGCCCTTTTATCGTATATATTATCATTCGTAATGATATCGATTTGAATTTCACAATTTGCACCACTTTACACGACCATACACAATATAATAAATACATCAGGTACGGATAGTTTGAATTTCAGGTATGTCTGTTAATATATTATCGCGAGTGCAATACTCGGCGGTCGACTCGATAAATTTATAATTTGAGATAAGGACTATGTAGATCGATAGACATGTAGGTATATCATGTTACGAAAGCTTTTGTTGCAACGAAACTCCCGACAATAAAATTATATTAACTCTCGCCTCACGTTATATATATGAATAAAACGTGAATCAATTATGATACGTATAATAACAATACTAATAATAATTGACCATGACGAATCGGAAGAAAGTGTGAGTGTGCGCTAATGTTTAAAGCTCGGCTTGTTAATGAATTTTGAAAAGGTCGGCGCTAGTGCAACTTGTAAAAATTATATGAGGTGTCTCTTGTAAGCATATATTCATTATAAGGCTTCATACCTGCTAGCAATACAAGTATACACGTATAAATATATTGTACAACACGTGTGCATTTATAATGGCAGATATACAACACAAATATACTTATGGTCGCCCAAGACTCGTGGCTTTTCTATTTATTATATTTATTTGGTAGCCTTTCTTGCCCCCACCCCACTACTAGTATACGTATTTGTACCGAGCAGCCCGTGGGAGTGTAACTACATACTACAAAGCGCAGTGACGTTTTGCATATATGATTCAGATATGAGCGAAAACTTTTTTTTTTTTTGGCACGAGAGACAATCAAAGAATATATGATACCGATCTCTTTGGAAAAATGTGTGCCGATGTCTCGGGGTTTTGAAATATATTTTGTCAACGCGTACGTATACCTATATAGTTGTTATCCATGCAGCACGCCTCGCAACATTGTTAGTATAATGTATTGAATTAGGAGCAGAAATAAGGGCTAAACTGAAGATGAAGATTATAAAAAAAGGAGAGAAAGCGATGTACAGGTATACGAGTGAGTCGGAGAGGATGAAAGAAAGAAGCGGGGCCGTTGAAAATTGAAAGAAATCCCGAGCCCGCAATAATAATTAATCCATGCGCCTCGCATTAATATCACCCCATGGAGAGAAAGAGAGAGAAAGCCGGTTGAGCTCTCAATTACACGAAAGAGTTATGAGAGAGTAGGTATAGGGGCAGCAGGTAAACAAAACAAAAGAACGAGAACGAATGTGCAGGTAATATACGAAGGCGCGCGTATATATAAGATGCCTCGCGGCTATTGTCTCTCTCTCTCTCACGCGTGTGTGTGTGTGTGTGTGTAGAATATAGTATACGTGGGTCTGTGTCTTCATTAGGGGCTATTAATTGTCAAGGGCCGTCACATAAGTCAATCGGCAGGTAGGTATAGGTAGGCATCACCATCATCGTTCTCTCAAGCTCGTCCCCGTCCACCTGAGCCAATCTCTTTGTACACTGGTTGTTGGATACGTATAGGTATACCAACATAATGTAGTAACAGAGACTCTCGAGTCCGATGGGATCTCTCTTCGCACGAATGAGGTGTGTAAAGCACAAGTGTGGAATTGATTGAAAGGATTGATAGTGAGAAAATCAGGTGTTGATGATGACTATGGATTTGTTAGCCATCTTTTCTTTCGGTACGTGTAATATATTTATTGTATCAAGGATATATATATATACACACACACATGTATATTATACGCTACTCCTCTGTATAGATAAATGAGAGTATGTTGTCAGGGAATCTTCATGCTTGTTTGTAATTTACTAAAGTTTGTAGTGTTGTATTACATTTACGAGTGAGTATATAATATACATTATTTTATACTCTCAACTTAAACTACAGGTAATTAGATACGCATGAATGTACAATATAGGTAAACAATATCAAAGTTATACGTATACGCAGTCAAAAAATTTATGTTATTTACTTGATTACACAAATTACATGTCAACGTAACATAAAGTATGTGTATCTTCTTACTTAAACTAATATTTATAAATACACGAAATTTGTGTGTGATAGCAGTTGGCTCATCATATACACAAGATTTTTACTACTCACGCACACCGTGTGTATATATATAATTATGATTCTGTTTCAAGCGCAATGAGTTTCAAATTATGTGGCTGTCCTCTAAAATCAGTGTTTTTGAACGAAAAATAATCGAAAACCTTAAACCGCTATATCTCCATAAAAAATCTAAATATCGCAAAAAGGACGGGACACAGAGCTCGAATAAACTAGTAGGCTATTACCCAAATTTTACATTTTTTAATTCAAATTATCGAAATTGCGAAATCACTACATATTCAAATATTCCCTCGTAATTCCCTAATATCATACAGATTGGCTTAATATACCAAACAGAGGCCAAAAAAAGGTAGTGGCTATCTTATAAATTTGAAATTTATAAACCTAAAATTATTCAAATTTTGAAATCGTTGTGTCTTTGTAAGTAAAGCAGATATTGCAATGAAAGACGATATTTTGTGATGACGAAAACAAAATAATTTGTTTTTAAACCGTAAGACTTTGGCTGCTTAAAGTGATGAAATACATTGTTTCAAATACTGTAATGTTTAACATATTATTTTGTTATACCATAAAGGGCTCGAGGAAAGTGTAGTTCACGGTTGAAAATTGTTTAAACTCTTAAAAATGACATAAATTACAAAATTTATGTGTAACTTTTTCACTTAACATAATATTCGTAATACCACAACGTGTGTAATAGCCTGTTTAATTGAAAATAAAATTTTTCTCCTTTAAATCAAATACGAGTGTGAACAGGGCACGAAAGAATGACGTAGATCAGTTATAAAAAATCATCGGTTTCCCGATATGTGCAGAGGCGAGAGTTATAATTTCAACGGCATGTAGCAACAAAGCCTAGCTTACGTGAGAGTGGAGGCGTATACAAGGTGATGGGTAAAAAAGTTACATATGTATATATCAAAGCCACCTTGATAGCGTGACCGACACGTGTTGAACGCACAGCACAGATAGAAAAGAACGTATAGTACATTTATTATAGGTGTACATTTGCTGTTGTGTCATGTGGTAAGTTTAAGTACCGCACGAGAGAAGCTCGACACACGATGATATGCCTTGCTATACTTACTTTAAATGTAAGGTACACGTAGGCGAAAGATCAACAGCACGCGTTCGCTACGGTCTCTCTCTCTCTCTCTCTCTCTCTCTCTCTCTCTGTCTGATACGATATGGAGCTTTTGCCATTCTCATACCTACTTGTACCCTTTTGTGAGGTGCAAGTAGGTGTATCTAGTGTAAGTCATACATACCGTGCGTGATGACAAAAGGGCTGCATGCAAAGATTCTCTCGGAGGTGTCGAATTCGATCCCATGACTCAGAAAAGTGTCGAGTTGGCTCCCGAGTCATTAGAAACTAGGGTTGAGTTGGCTCCCATGCTATTACAACTTCCCAGATTAACATTTTTAACAAATATTATTATTTTTCCCGTCACACTTGATCAAGCCTTCGGACTGGCAGTTCAAATTACTTAAGTACTGGCGTGTTTAAAAAAATAATATTATCTTGATAGTTATTTGAATACTGATGTTCTTGAATTTTTTTGATACTGCCTTAATGTACTGATATCGCGTAGAGAAACCATTTTGATACTGCAACATTTCTTGATGTAAAAAAGTTTCTTTCTCTTGCATACTTTTTGATTTTGTTTTCGTACTTCGCATTTTAATGTACACATCAATTTGAACCTGTTTTAATGCATCTGTGAACTCGAATACATTGGGGTTTGATGTATTAAACATACCGTTAAAATGTGAGTGGAACGACTCGCAATTATTTGTTGTGCGGCAGAGGGATGCTGAGAAATTCGCCCAAATACTGGGAGGTCTTGGTGCGTCGCTTTTTATGTACTCATCAAGGACATAGTCACAAAAATGTTCAACTCTGTCGTCGCTTGGCATAATACTAACCAAGTCCTCTGCAAAGCAATCCTCAACCTCACTTGGATTCAGAAAAGGTAGGCCAGAGAAACTTTTTAGAAAATCGCTTATTTCTGAACCTTGGTTTTTATATTCCACACTTAGTCCCAAATCTTGAATTAAATAAACAACAACAAAATTTACAGACAATACACACAATCCGATGGACACACTTTCATAAAGACAGCGAGAGCACAACTGACACAAAGTTTAGTTTCTGCTCAATTATGTCCTATACCACTGAGCTTACTCCGTATAACACACATACGTATAATTCAATGTTTTCATTTAAAAGTTTATCTATCCCAATAAATACAGTCCCATGTTTTGATTTTAAGGGAGCCAATTCGACCGTACTTTCTAAAGACCCGGGAGCCAATTCGACCATAGATACGGCGTTATCTGGCATTCGGGAGCCAACTCGACACCGGCCGATTCTCTTCTCTCTGACTGACATTGCCGTTACGCACCCACGATTGCGTTTACTATTGTCATCATCATCGCAACAATGGAGACACCCATACGAGTCTGTTTTATTTAATTTTTTTTTTTTCTTTTTCTTTTTTTTTTCCACTCGACTCTATACGGAGGACTGAAATAAGAGTTTTCCACCGTGTCTCTTATTGACTCTGGATTTCTCACACCACCCACCTGGATTTATCTTATCCGTTGTGCCAAATCGATCAAAGGTTGGATTTGTTATTGTGAAAGTATGAAAGTATGTATACACACATATATATATGTATGTATATATATATTTACCTGATGGAAGCCTAGGTAACTCTCTATGCTGTGAGTGGCGAAGAAAACCTCCCCGTCGCAGGTCAGAATGAGCAAGAAGCCGTTCAACGCCTGTAATAATGAACAAAGAGTCAGCCATATCGTATACCGAAATGTAATCGCATACATGTATATATGTACGTACGTAAATACTATAATTACGTTTGTGTGATGTGTGACTCTAATGAGCGATTAATACTTATAAGTAATGTAAGTGTGGAGCACAAAATCCCAGCTAAAGCGCTAGCATGAGGGGTTGGGGAGGGGGGGAAGAAATAAAAGATGGACGTTCAGCTTCCATGTTAGAGAGGAGCGTCGACTGAGAAACGGAGAGGATCGGGGTGGGGTGGGGGTGTGAATTTAATCCAAGGGTACGAAAGAGAGAGAGAGAGGGAACTACTATTATTAGGGTGGCTAATACTGCTGCGCCTCTTATCTCGCATGCGCGTGGATGCTGGCCCCGGATTGGCTGAGAATCGAGCTGTCGAGTCGATAGTCACATGAACAGCGCGTAACAGAAAATGGGGGTTTATTGTGGGTGCATGTACATTATATATTATGTACCCATTCAAGGAAATGGGTATACGTGTGTACGCATGCACTTTCCAGTGGGATTTGTCAATCCCGCCACCCTCCGATGGTATTGGTATACTTTTGTATTTTCCGTTACCTGCCGTGTAAAATGTAATCTCTTTCTCTTTCTTGGTTGCGCTAGTATGTATGACCGAGAGAGAAACGATAAAAAACGCCGCGGCGATGGAGGTCACACTGTACGTACAACCTTTACATGTACACGCGATATCGTGGTATACATCAATAGATACAAATTGTATACCTAAGGAGCCTCGCTTAAACATATGGAGTTGTGTAGGTATACTTGTATGGATCGCTCAATTTTTCGTGCCAAGAGGAAAAGGGTCATATTCTGTGCAACTGAAAAGTCGATAGTGCGCAAGAGTAAAATTTATCATAGCAAAAATATAAGATGGATGGATGGATGGATGGATGGAAGTATTGTAAAATATAGAAGGCTCAAGTGTATAATCGAAATGGTGCCAAGTAGCGATTTATCACAGGACGAGAGCAATAAAAAAATATCGACGAAACAAAGGCGTATCGTGGAGCAACATTATCGATGCCACCATAATTATATATATATATATATATGTATACTCAAGTTTGCAGGTGTACCTAAGCACAATACGAGAAAAATAATAATGTACTTGGTCAATCGGTATACCTACATACTACACAAGGGTCCCAATATAAATATTATGCATATAAGCAGTTTGAGTCCTCTTATCCCTTGTGTTTTTATCGGTTTCCTATCCCTTCACCCATTATAGTGCCCACGACACCAAAGTTTGTATACTTAATAATACCTATACAGCTATTCATAGTATTTATACCGTACTTTGTGACCGTTATATATAGGCATAGACATTTAATAATATTAATAATAATAATAATAATGATAATGATAATAATATGTAGGTCTCATCTTTGCGTGTCGTGTGGTCTAGTGTGCCCGTACACGGTCGCGTGTGTCGAATTGCAAGCACAAGCCGGGGCAAGCTTCTCACCTTGACTCTGGGGGTTTGTCGACTCCAGAGCCATGCAGCCAGTAAACCATCAAGAGAGTAGGGAGAGGAGGGGGGGAGGTAGTAAGAAAGGAAGAAAGAGTCAGAGTCGTGGCCCGGGGCAACCAAGCGCGCCCCCGTAGCCAAGGCAGCAGACCGATCAATATTACAACCTGTACCCACATATTGTATGTGTTCCTTTCTGCCCGACCAACTTGGCTTGGCTTGGTTGTACCTATGTAACACTACAACAGGACTATGCTTATACCCTATCGCTAAGCTAAACTTTATCCCTTTTCTTCCTTTTTTTGTTTGCGGATAAGTATATTTTTATTAAACACGTGTATCTTTACATACCCGCATGTACCGATTGCTAATACATTTACACTTGCGTTTTATTCGTTATACTGATTGCGCGTGTTTACAGTGTATAATACATTATGAAAACAATGTTGGGAAAACAAAATTTGCGCTCATCATAAATTTTATTATCATCGTTACCCTATGCCCAGACGAATTTATAAACTTGTACGAACATAAAAATACTTTCACTGTTGAATTTTCAAATTATTTTTATTATTAATGATTAAATTCTGATGATAACTGAGAGCTTGGAAAAAAAAAAATACACGTGTGTGTGTGTGTGTGTGTGTGTGTGTGTGTAACTATAGGTTCACTCGACAAGTTTTCAGATACGAAAACAAACGAACAACCCTTACCCTCTCATAAATGTATCTGATGAATAATGTATGTATATATAATTATATACTGTACATGCGATTAAAATAATTTAATCTTTTGTTTTTCAATCTTTAGTCAAAAGGACGAAACAAATAAATAAATTGAGAATGAATTTCATAGAAGGAAATCCATTAGGTATATATAATATTTCCTCTATCCTCCTAGTTTACGTTAGTTCTCCCTTTTGACGCGCAATTTCCCACGTATATAGGTATACTCTTGCTATAAAGGACACAGGAGGTAAGGTATAATGAGTATATCGATAGCTCACGACAGCAACAGCAGCTTAATATATGCTCTCTCTAGCTCTCTCGTTATTCGCGAAAACCCATTGGTATACATACGGATGGACATTCACACGCTCCCTAAGTCCCTCATATATATACATATACAACAGAGCAAAAGTTGGAGGAGGAGGAGGTCAGTACAGTGCATCCCCATGCACTATTGTATACGTGTTGTACCGCGGCAGCAGTGGTACAGCAATAGTAGTCTGTGGCGGGATAATAATAATAATAATAATAATAATAATAATAACAATAATAATAATAATGTAAGCGTCCACTGAATATTTAATGGGTGATCTCGGGTGACTCCATAGAGAGACGAACCTGCACTGCATCGTATACCTACACCATTTATATATATAAATCATCATTATTATGTACCTATATATATATTTATGCAACGGCTGGCAGAAGAGAATTCAACCTGCCTGTTTTTCTCTCAAAGTACATTTGCCTATACGTACAAGGTACGTACGTATATGTGTATACTTATACATGTGAGAGAGAAGAGGTGTCGGATGAAAATGTCCCGATCGAAGAGAAGAGAAGGGACGGGGAAGGGGAGGACCAATGCAAACACTGCGTGGACGTAATATATGGAGATGCTGCAGTGGTCGCGAGCGGTGGGTTCGGTTCCCAGCAGAGGTGCAAGACTCGGGGTAGGGGGAGGGGGGCATAGTGCAGTTTTATCGTTATACCTGTATGTGCTGGGCATGAACCGAGCCGAGGTGTGACATATATACTTATATACCTATCGGCGAAATTAATGGCCGCGATCGGTCCGCGTCCATATGCAGCTTCGAACATTATAAAAGGGACATGTTTCAAGCCGTCGTCAGCAACAAGTTGAGAAAGACCTATCTCGCACTCCCTCGCGCGTTAGGACAGAGAGAGAAAGAGGAAACACGAGCGGGCCCATTGTACTTACAATACTCTCTCCCTCCTCCAAGTACTCCTCCATGTCTTTTTGTGGGCTGCTGCAGGTATGATGCTATATCTACTATATATTTATAACATCCAAGAAAGAGAGAGAAAGGGTTATTGGGGACAGCTTGAGAGAGAGAGAGAGAGAGAGAGAGAGACTCTCTGGTCACATTGCTGGCATCATGGTATTAATGCCGATGGCCGTAAAAAATAAATCAAATTGTGATAGTATTCACGAAATAAAAGAAAAGACCGCAATGTGGTTAAAGACCCTCTTTGTTCCCCCTATATATATATATATACACATATATATATCCCTGTGTAATATTATATACGGGATGATGCCAATGTTTGTGGTTGGAAATTAGGCAAACAGCTGTGGCTTATTATAAAATCATTAGAGCTGAGCCCGCGATTTTACACGTTACACACATACGCAAGTTTCGTCCCGAAATTTTTTTTATTATACTGTATGGGTATACTTATGCGGTGATGTGCCTCGGTCATTAAAACGCATATGTTTATACATATACACGTATGTACGATGCAAGATGATACAACATTACCAAACGTTAAAAAGATGGTACTTAACTTGTTTGATTGTTATTATTATTATTATTATTATTATTATTGCAGGTAAAAAATACTTTGAATAATATATAGTTATGCATTATTATACCGATTCCCGAAACGTTGAACCCATAACATAATGGAGCGAGAAAAAGATTTTTTTTCTCAAAGAAGCGTCTGATTTTCTTATTTCTTCCAAACAAATACTAAATTGAAGGATGTAATGTTTTAGGTATATAAGTACATACAAAAACAATGCGTTCACAATTTCAAGTTTACGAGCTACGTCACGTACATCATCCCTACGGGTGTATGTGTGGGTGTGTGTCAGAGAACTGCAGCTGTAGCGCAATCCGCACGGCCGTATATACTACAGTCGACGAGCTTTATGGCGCGGTTCCGCGTCTATATGTGCGTATATATATATAGGTATCCCGGCCCATCTTATTAAGCTACTCTCTCATCCACCTTATGAGCATAAAACGCGCGCGCCTCCACATCCAAGCCAAAGCCCGCACGTAAAATATGGTACTAGTGTATACACACACACCCGCATAATAATACGAAGCAAATAATATGATGGGTGCGCAGGTACATTATAATAAGAGCGTAACACTGCAAAGGACAAAATAATAAAGGCACAAGAAAATCTCTCTTGCTCCAAACTTTTTTTTCCCCGCTACGTATAATAAGTATGTAAGTATATAATATTATGCGCTCGCATGCCCCAGACACATTAATATCCCGATGCGTGTATGTGCAATTTATATGTATACACGTTAAACGTGCACACATTACCCACACACGTGTACACGTGCTTTGCGGTGAGAGGTAAGAAAAGGAGGTGGTGAACCTGTTCGGGGCGATTTTTAATCATCGAACGGGGGGATTTATCGTTCATTATTTGCGCGATGGGATATTTATCGGAGCGCCGCAGAGATTTATAACTGCACGACAGAGAAGGAAGAGAGAGACGGGCCTCCCTTGGCGATGCAGAAATTGGGCTCTCGATCGGAATTGAGAGATCAGGGGTGCGGCGATAGGGCTACTCTTGTTGTGAAGATGGTGATGTCATGAGATTGGAAAATAAGGTTGTTATTGTTACCTGCAGGAACATTTCACCGTCTAGGTGCTGGTGATCGTAAGCGGCCAAGGCTGCGAGCTCGCGCGCCCGGTAGTGCGAGTCGTGGTGCGCGCTGTCTTCTTTGCCTTTGCTCATCGCCACTGTAACAGATATAACATCCCAATCAAACACATTTTTCTTTCTTTTTTTTCTTTTTTTTTTTTTCCATTTCCATTTTTTGTGCGCAAATTTGTATGATATTTCATCCAGTTGTACTGAAATAATTAAAAAGTTATATTTTGCGATAAAAAGCATACCATGTTTGTTTGTTATTTATAAACACTGTACAATTATTTAGGCTATGTTTGTGACGGTGTATTGTAAAAATTCAGTTTTTCATTATTTTTCTATTTATTAAAATAACCAATGTATGAATCACGAACAGATGTAAAAAAAATTGATCAATTAAAAAAAAAAAATTACGATTTACGTTTTTTCATGCTACGGGCTCATCAATTAATATAAGATGGAGATAAAAAAAAAAAAAAATAATAAAAAAATTTATAGTCCACGTATACTGCAGATAAGACATCTGAGGGCGCATTTTTGACTCTTTGGTGAATTCTAATGAATGTATTATAATAAGAGCAGCCAAGGGTGGTGTACGTAGGTATATACATAAAGCACAAGATAAAGGGGATATATACTTATAGGTGGGGCAGGTGGCACTCGATGACCCGATCTAAATTATACCCAAGTACCCATATAGATAATACACGCATATACCCACCGACGTGTACACGAAGAGGAAGTGTCACTCCAAAAGCTAGAGTCGTCGGCGCGTAAAAGCAAGAAACGAGCCAGTGGGGGCGGGGAGAGGGGGCAGTTACCGATCTACCCTGACAGGACCGACTTTTTTTCTTTTTTTTTTTTTTTTTGTATAGGAAGATATAGGTAATTTTCTTTTTCCTGCAGTTTTACTTCCCTGTGAAAGCACGGATCTGCCTTTTGCTCGTCACGCGCTCTGTTTGTTTGTTTTTCGTGTATGGGGTTTGACTTGCGACTTGAGCGACCTCGGAATAATATCATTCATTCGTGATAAAATGAAATATTTAAACAAAGAAGCGAACTATGAATGTTATATGTTGCGGAACAGTCAGTAAAAAAAAACAACAAAAAAAAACCCTGTGTTAATCTTATTCAATTTTTGTTGATTTAATGACGGCTATCGTTAACTGGAATTCCAAAATATATACAAGTTCGGTGTCTCTTTCAACTCTCAGCTGCACTGCTTGCCCGAAACATAGTAAAGGTACACCAAAGCTCATAAAAAAAAAAACTATCTTTTATCAACAATGCATGTACAAAAGAGGATGTTACAAAACGATGAGAGGAAAGGTGAGGACGTTTTACGGAAACCCTTTGGGACTCGCCTTGAGGGGTAAACATTTACTTTTTTTCCCACAAAGGCAATATATATACACACACAATATCGTATACAATACCGTAAGGATGAGTCTCACATTTTTTCCGAGTATATAAAACACACACACACACTTGGTATTTGGCAGGTAAGTAAATGAGTAAGTGAATGCTGGTTAATTGAGCGATTATAATACATATATATCCCAGCGCGCCCGATTGGAGCTTCGCCGTACATCGAAGGAAGATTAATGGACTCGACGAAACTGAAAGAGAGAGGGGCACGTGGCTCCGCTGCAAGCTGGTTTGTTATTCCGAGTCATCGACAGCCCATGCATGGGATAATCAATTCTTTCGAAGCTATGCCTCTCTCACTTATTTTTCGTTTTATCATTTAATACGAGTTGCCGCGTTAAATAGCGACACGCGTGACCCGGGGCTCGGCTTTTGTGTGCTTGTCAGGAGGTTGTTAGCGCGCCCCTTGTGTATGTTGTACGTTTTTCCCCACGTATGAGCATGCCATGATCGGAGAATTTTTTTCATAAGAATCTCGGCCACGTTGAGTGCCAGCGTACTACACACGTTGTGTATCAATTTCCTTTTTTTTTTTTTTTTTTTTCTTGCGAGCCGACTATACTGTATTTTGCAGCGCTATACAGCGCTATACATTGATGTACACCCGCGTATTTTCTTATTTCAACGACAATTTCATGATAATTGTCCGTCGAGAGCAATGATCTGCATGCACCGCCTTGCCCGCGTTAAAATTTTTAAGTTTGGCCAAACATGAATTTTTACGCAAGTATGGCCAAACTTCAAAATTTTACGCGAGTGGTGATACAATTGCGTAGCGACGAAAAAAAAAAAAAAAAAAAAAAAAAACACTCATGCGTGTATACACAGACAGGCCAACCTTATCAGATGGCGATAAAAATCTACTCGTTACACGAGTGTGCGCAACAGCTGACCTCCGAAATAATAATGCAAGACTCGATAAAGACACAGGCGTGCTTGATGTTGTATAAAAAGTATACGTGTTAAACGTGCAGTGTTTCCAATTGCAGCGTCGCGCAATTAGCCGCTGATAATCGACAATTTTGCAGCTTGCGGTGTCGGGCGATCGGCAAACAGCTGCTTCTGTCATATATATATATATATATATATATATATATATATATATATATATCGCAGGGATATATATATGTGTATATATATATATATATACACATATAATATTACGTTCGAGCAAATTGAAGAGAAATGTGTTTTATTGATCTGAAAGATAAGACTGCCACTGCAGAGNTCGCTTACCCTTCCATCTTAATAATAATAACTCGCAATTTCGTGCCACTGAGGTAAGTCCTTCTATGATTTTGGCTCCTTTATTTTTTTGACGATTGTCGATGGTTTGAATCAAAATGTATAGGTCTGATGATGATGATTGACGGATCATGTTCAATACAGATTTCATAATTCATTTAATTTTATTTTTTTTTTTCCAACACATATACGCACGTTATACGTACACCTACGATGATAAATTATGAGCGTGAAAAAACGAGTGAAAAATCCACGAGGATCGTGGAAAAAAAAAAAAATAAATAAAAGGAACTCATCTGAAACAGCAAGCACTAACAACAAAATTAATTCACTATAGCAGAGGTAACCCCCGATGGATCGTCAAATTTCACATGTATTAAGTACACGCGTCTCGACCGTATGTACGTATATACACCGCTAACAAGAATGGATCACCGTGATTTTTCGGGCCAATCAGGTAAATATTTCCAGACGGGAGAAAAAAAAAAAAAAAAAAAAAAGAAAAAAAAACAGAGAAACTTGCTCGATTCTCGCTGGCGCGTGCAACGCGGCGTGTGCAGTGCACCAATGGCTACGGATGGCAGTCAACAATGAGCAGGCATTTGTCGGGAGGAAATAATTTCGGGCGCACGAGATCGGATATAAATTGGTACACATTTTTCTTTTTTTTCTTTTAAGGACTTGATATGGGAGAGAGAGACAGAGAGCGCGAGCTATTAATCTCGCGGTTAGTTTGTTAGCGTGCGCGTAAGACGATAAATATATAAGAAGGGAAAGGGAAAGCCGAAGAAAAAAGGGGGTGCGAATTCTTGGTTGCGCGCGCTCGGTGCTAATTGTTATTTACGAGGAGTTGAAAGAGGGTACATATAAAAACATATGCGGACGCGTGCGCACACACATGACATACACATAATTTCAGCTGTATGGCTTCTTGTGTGTACATAGGGCGTGTAGATAATATATATACCAGCTTTTTATTGAGTGACGTTGATTGAAGCGAAACGAAAAAATCGACTCCACCTCCTCCTCATCGATTATGATTATCGTCGCGCAATCTTTTTTTGTCTCTCTCTCTCTGTGTGTGTGTGTGTGTGTGTGTGTGTGTGTGTGTGTGTGTGTGTGTGTTATGCGTGTATTTGAAAGCAGTTATGATCCCCCCCCTCTGTCGCACCCTTAAAGTTGGTTGCATATTACATGGTAATCCACTTGTGAAAAAGCAGATCATGAGAAGGAGGGGGGGGAGGAGTACGGTGGTAACCGATGTCATCTATATTATAATATACTATAGCACAGCAGGTGAGGTATGATATTGGGTTACCGTATATGTATATTCATTATAAAGTATGCCGCAATGACGGCTGTGCGGAGGGAGGCAAGCTCGGAGGCAAGTGTGGAAAGTACTGGACGAGCTTTTCGCGGACATGATACTCGATACCGATGTCCCCTCGAACATGACGCGAGACATGACGTATGCATTGCGTATATATATGTGTGTGTTGCATTGTTATTGTTGCAGTTTTAATTATATTGATTGGTAGTTTTTCTTTTTCTCCATAAGCTGATTCTGCCTGTCCGCAGCTACCGATCAAACATTGGATCGGTTGCATTACACGCGAAGATGATTGTTCCTCCTTTTTTCGCGCCATACAACGGTCATGTCTTCAAAGATAAATACTTGAGCATTTAAAGGATGCAGCCATGTTTTTTTTTTTTTTTCCCCTCTTCTGACGAAATAGTAATAAAGTTTCCTTCTTTTCTTTCAATTTGTTCAATAATATTATGTATAAATGTTAATTCGGTGATTATAACCACCAGAAAGTTGGACTCGCGAATAAAATGCGGCGATGATAATTATAAATTACCAAAAGTCCTTTCTGCTCCCCTCCCATCCAATCAAAGGCCCACGAGGAAAGTAGAGATAGGAATGATAGTGCGGGGGGTCGGATCTATGTACACGTATATTTTTTTAGCCGCCAGAGGTCCTCTTACTTAAGTTGGTACTCATGCAAAGTCAATGCAGAATTGAGTCTGGCCCTCCGGATGCCTGTAAGTACACGCACGCACACACCTCTTCAAATCTAGACTCTGATAGTATAACCTGGACATACTGTATACTTTATAAAAGTGTATGCGCTATAAAAACTTTGCGTAGGTATAATATGCTAATGATGTATCCAAGAGAGGCCCGTGCTGTAGCTTACGTGGACACATACACTTATACAAGTACGTACAGGGAAAGAAAGAGAGTTGATATCCTGGCCAGATAAACAAAGCAATTATAGCGAATGAGGGTGGAATATATATATAGGTACATGAAAACTACGTATACCTCTTTTATTATTGTATACTCGTACATACATCACCCTACTGTCTATACTCGAATTTTGGATCTTATTGATCCCAATAATAATAATAATAA